CAACCTTGTCCCGCCCGTATTGGGTGACTTCTAGGACCTCGAATCTACTCTGCCAAATGACCAAGCCACTGTCGCGCAGACATCCGAGGGACTCTCAGATCTTGCCGAACCCCTCCAAAGTCTGCCTGTATCGTTGAGAGACCATTCTCCCAGATTAGGAGACTTGCAAGACGGCAAGTCCCCTTCTCAATCATAGCAATTTGAAGTCTCACTCGTTCTAATGCTTTCCTTCATTTCTCAAGTTGCCAACTCAGAAATAGCTGCTGCAGGATACGGTCCCCCACTCTATGATGCGAAGAATGTAGCCACCTCCGTTATCTATTGGCCAGAGACCAACAACAAGGGAGAGTTGGAAGAGGAGAGTTTCCGGATGTATGTTTGAGCGCGGTTATCTTCTATTTGCTGACCTTGCCATGGTTCTCAGCGCCGAGACAGATTCCACGCCGAAACCTTCAGCAAAGTTGGAAGAACTACCCAAATATCTTCCGAACGGCGGAACTATTCTGTCCGTCCATCAGCCTGCCACAGCTTTGTCCTGGCTCGAGGAGAACTATGACACCCCATTTGTGAGGCTCATCCACAACAGCAACGTATTCAGCGGGCCATTGTCCATGATGTTGTTCCCAGATACACCCGCACTGGCTCTATTCGGGCCAGTCAACGGGGAAGAGAGCGGCAAATTAGCCCAGGAATTGGCCAACAAATCAAATTTCCCCGTCATCACTCGACCTTCTGCATATGACCCTATTTCCCTGTGTGTTTTTCGGTTCTTCTTCATAATAAAAGCCTGAACTTCCATATTTGTGGTCAAGGTTCAAGTCCCTGGTCCCCTTTATCGACCTCCACGGAATTGAAACTGGGGACACACATGGGAGAGAGACTAGTACAACCGATAATCGCACAGCGTCGCAACCCAGCGGTGGTCCCCGAAGCGAAAACATTTTGGGTTCCGACAGGGGGGGAGATGGGGTGGGTGGTGAAGGTTCGGGTCAAGACGAAATCAACAGAGATCCGATTCAACCCGTCGGATGACAATGGGGACCCCTCTGTGCCGGGAAATCGAGATCCAAACGCAGGCAACGATGAGGCGGATCCTGCTGTCCTCAAGGCGGGCACTAACAGGGACATTAGCGTCGTTCAAATATCTCCTGCTTGCTCTCCTACTCATGTCCTGCTTGCTTTCCTACTTGCAAGTAGGAAAAGGAAGTTTGACATGAAAAGGAGCTTTGATGCTCCTTCTGTCAAATTTAGCTCCTACTCTGGTCCCTTTTTGTACTTCCAGTCCATATTTTCAAAAAATAATTTCACCGCTGAGAAGGCATGCGCAAGTAGGTAAAATGTGGCTCATTTCCTACACTTAACATTGCTTGGATTATGTATAAAAAATACGATGAAGTTTTCCTACTCGGGAAAAATGCTGGCTAGGCCGTTCAAAATTGAACGAATCTTCTCCTACTCTTTCATCCTTCTCGGGAAATAATCAATAAACTGAGCAGGAAAATATGCACAGATGTTGTAGGGGTATAAAATAAGAACCCTTTCCACTTTTATCGGAATCCGGGCAGAATTGCTTGCGGGGCAAGAAGTAGGAGCCGGAGTAGGAGAGCAAGTAGGAGATATTTGAACGACACTATTAAGGGCAAGAACAAGTTCCACAGCGATGCCGGCGGTGATCCAGGCGGTGACGGGACTGTGACTGGCACTGAGGCAGACGACAAATGGGAGGACTGGGTTAGCCCTCGCCACACCACGGCATTTGACATAGACCTCCGAGTCAACAGTGAACGTTCCGTCCATCCGGAGATTGGCTCTCAAACTCAGGTATGTTCCGACTTTCTACAGGACAGCCACTCATTTTTTTTTTTCGCCCGCAGTTTAAAACTTTTGCCGATGAAAGCGTACCGCTCGACGACAATAAAGAATGGTCTCAGCAGGATCATACAAGGCCCCAGGTACAGGTCCACACCACGTTGAAGATTCAATTCCCCGGCCGCGAAATTCTCCTTGATCGATCCTATGCTTTCTTGGGTTTTTTAACCCATCAATCCCATTGCATTTCAAGAAAGGACAAGTACGTGACTGAAATTTTAACTTGAACGTTGCTGCATATTGTCCACTTTTCATAGTTTGGAATGCGGTTTTAGCGCCCCGACGAGGACATATAAACGTACCAATGCAACAAACGTCCAAAACACCTTGAGCGGTCGCATTGGGGTGGCCGGAACGACCCCAGCGCCGACCGCCGGCTTGGTATATACACGTGGCCAGTCGAAGACCACCACGCTGGAGGCAGCCGATGCAAAGGCATTCATCGTATAATGTGTGATCGACGCCCATTCAATATTCCTAGCCCATGCCAGCGTACGACGTAACAGCTGATCCCGCAGACGGTTATTTCGACAAGAGTGGGAAATCTTTTAAATCGTACGCTTACTCGTACACTCCGAATCTCTTTTGGCCGGGAAGTCAACCACGGCCAGACGTCGGATTCGCGTTAGGGATCAATTTTGTCCCGCCGCGCAACGAACAGGTTGGAAGAATGACCATGGGGACATTGGTGTTGAAACTTGTACTCATTATGCCACAGGAGAAATCTACCACGCCGCCTCAAGTGGAGAATATCATTAGGAGCCAGATCTTTATGTGGGTTGCGGATTCGAGTTTGCGGTCTAAGATACGCGGAGTCGTCTTTGTGCTAAGTGTGAGTCCTTCTTCCGCTTGCAAAGGTGTACATATATATAACAGATCCAACCTTCGCCAGAACAACGTGAGAGACATCCGGCGACGCTGGCCGATAGTCGAGACAGAGGAAGTCAAGATCGATCTTGCAACTGGGCACCACGGTACGTTTCACCCTGTATCCATACACCAATCCATCCCATCCTGAATGATGCCGTATCTCTTTAGTTGTGGGCACCGCTGGCCTACGAGGAGACCAGGAGGACGGCGGGTTTTCGCTTTCCGCGATCCCTGTTGAACAAAGAGAATACAGGCCAGACCTCGAATCTGATAGCACAAAGAAATCTTCTACACTGCAAAGGATGCAAGCGCCGTTAAAAAAATGGCTGAAGATCAAACGCACGGCGCCCCCCGGTCACTTTGGCGACACACGAGCTCATCAGTCGTGGTTGGGATGCCACCAATTCTCAGTGGAGAGACCCTATATATCCGGAGTTGGACAGATACTTTCACAAAGTGTCCAAGAAAGCCAAGGAAGCCGATCCATCGTTGGTAATGTACAAGATCTGTCCTTATGGGGCTGAAGTAGCGGAAAATGAGTAGGTGTGGTGGGGAGGGTCAGGATTCGCTGGGAGCCGCGGTGGGGGTGTCGTTGTACGTGCCATAAGCGGGGATGTTCGAAAAAGATATTTCCGATTTGTTACCGATCATGTATTGACTGTTAAGCCTTTCCGATTTTATGCTGCCGACCGGATGAGAGTGCAAAACAAGGGACGCCGGTTTATTTCAAATCAAACCCATGCGTCGTAGATAGGCGTCAGTCCCTCCATATGAGCGCGTGACGTGATGCGGTAAAAAAAATTGGAGGTTGAACCAAAGGTAGCGGACCAGATTGTACAAGTCGTGCCTTCGCTTCGCTCCGGCGCATATCCAAGGGGACACATTCTTGTTACCATGTAAAGCCTCCTCACGACATCGATTAATGTACGTTAAATTACCCGTGGAGTTGTTCAACTTGGCCGGAATTTTTGTAGTCGCTTCAACAATCGAGGTATCTTTCTTACTGATATTATAGTATTTTTACTACATAGTCCCATTATCAATCCAGAATGACAGCCGTCGATATGAGTGCTGAACTGATGAGATGCAGAGAACAGAACATACATAACATGAATCTCCGATAACGTTTCTGCAGTAGAGTGCGAAGTATATGCCAACGATCTATAACCACCGGGGAGGTGTACGAAAATATTCAGGATCATACCATACTATGGCGTTCACTTTGTAAATTGGTTCAAGTTAACGCAACCACCCAACCGAACACTGAGTTGAACTTCCGGCCCAGGTTCAGCACTTTTCTGAACCTTGAAGCTGAGTCTGACTCTGGTGTTCAGTTCGGTCGCGGTTCAGGTTCAAAACTGATTTCTGATCCGGACTGTGCAACCACACGTCTTCCGCTGAATCGGAGGAGAATAGAAGAGAAACTCGGCTGATTCTGAGAAGGCTGCTGCACTTGCACTGGCAGGAAATTCGATCCGTATATAGTACGAGGAAAGGCGGGAGATACTAACAGAGTCAAGACTATAGAAGTTCGGAGTGTACTCGCTAACTCTCAGAGCAAACCATGTGAGATGAATGGAACAAGCGAACAAACGACACAAGAAAGAAATAAAATACACGCAGGGCTCAAGTGGGGGTCGAACCCATATCTTCCGCTTGCGTGAATTCAAGAAGATATGGCTAATTGCTTGCAGATGCATACCGTATGCTACCGAGTCCTGTGCACATTGAAGAATTTGCAATCGTAAGTGAGAAAGACCGGATTTGGAAGGTGGGTGGAGATTCTGGGGTGGGATGCCAGTTATTCCTCAGTTGAAGTACACAAGAAAGCGGATAGTGGGTGATGGCGCCGGAAAGCGGCTGATTCAGACTTGGATTCGGACAGTTGTGTTGGTTGGAGATAAATGTAAGGGGTAAGCAAGAAAATTTCGAAGGATCAAGTAGTGGCACAGAAATTTTTGGCAGAAGGAGAGCAGATCTAGATGAGCCGAGATGAGATGACGTGCGCGGTGGAGTTGAATTTTGAAGGGGCATTCAAATTTAGATTGCACCTGGAAAGAGGGAACGGGATGAGACTGGGTGGGCCTGTGAGACAAGAGAACGCCTCTTGAAATGCTGGAGTATGACAAGGCTTGGACGGAAGATGTGAGTTTTGATGATAGTGAGATGGATTTAAATTGGTGTTCCCAGGAGGAAGGTGAGAATGGGATAAGACTGGTGTCTAAGAAAAAGAAAGAAAGTGTTATGGCACTGAGTTGGTAGGGCTCAGGTGGGAGTCGAACCCACATCTTCCGCTAGCGTGAAGGCCACATGTTAATTGCAGGCAGATGCATACCATATGCTACTGAACCTGGCTTGTAAGTTGGCGCTGGATGCATATCCTTCCAGCTAGCCTGGGGTTTTGTTCAGCTTCAATTTGGTACTGAGTGATGACGGGGGATGAAACAGGATATTCACATGTCATAAGTATGTCTGAGTCTTGCAACCAAAGGAATAAGTCAACTCCAGAAAACCAGGTGAGAGACCCACATGACAAAAGAGGCAGCCTGTGAGACAAGACATATGAACCTCTGAAACACGAGGACGACAAGGGCTGTAACCGGCCAAGGCTTGGACCCGCCGGAATAAGTAACAGGTATTCAGCCTCTTCCGTTTTCGATTTTCATCATGGAAATCGAACCCACCTCCATAAATGCGGCCGGCGCGGAATTACAAGGGTGGATGAAAGTTGAAACAATTGGAGACCGAGAACAAGACGCCGCGACACGTGACCATTGTCCGTTCCGTTCGGCGCGGGGCCGAGGGCATTGCCACACGACACAGCTTTCTCTGTTTCTGTTTCTCCTTTTTACCTCACCCACACACGCCCACTACCACTACCCCTACGACTACCGTGTCACCCCACTTGGAATATGGACGTCGACATCGCTGTGCACGCGCCCCACGCGCTTGTCGAAGATGTCGAGGACCTCGAGGACATCGGGAGCGAAGACGCGACGGGGAGCGCGAGTATGACGCGGAGCCCGACGCCGTTCCGGATGTGGTCCTCGAGCGTGCCGGCGAGCACAGTCGCGTCGTCGCCTGCGGGCGTGCCCGCGTCGGATGAGGACGGGGATGATGAGGATATGAAGGGCGTGGCGGCGGAGGAGGGCGAGGTAAGCTTTTATTTTGAGACAGGATGTGGCGCGATGCTGATTTACGATTGTGTGATGCAGGATGAGGTTAAGCAAGAGGGCGAGAGCGCGTTTTTGAAGCCCGTGGGCGCGGTGCCACCCGACGCGGATGCCAAAATCCACGAGACTGTCGACGGCGCGGAAGTCGCCTCGCCCGCCGTTCAAAATGACGCGGAAGACGCGGACGCCGCGTCAAATGACAACCCCGGAAATTTGGACGCTGACGCCGACGAAGAGGACCCGATACCTCCCGCGGAGCAAGCCGCGTGGGACGCGCGCTACAAGCGCCTCGAGCACCTGCTCGAGCGGAGCGCGATGTATAGCGGGTTCCTGGCGGAGCACATGGAGGCCGCGCGCGTGCAGTGGGCGGAGGAGCGGGCGGCGAAGAGGGAGGCGCGGGCAGCGAGGAAGGCTGAACGCGTGGTAAAAAAAGCAGAGAGGGCTGAGAGGAAGAAGCAGAGGGAGGCGGAGGAGGAGCGCCCAAGGAAGAGGAGGAGGCGGGGGGCGAAGGCCGTTGTCTACTCGGATGTCGAGGAATCGTCGGAAGAGGAGGTGACCGACGAGGACGCAGAGGAAGACGACAACGACACCAGCGCCTTCCCCCAACCTGCGCTCGTCACGGGTGCGCGACTGAAAGACTACCAGCTCGAAGGCCTGCAGTGGATGGTCTCGCTCGACCAGCAGGGCATTTCTGGGATCCTCGGTTTGTGCTTCCTCTTTCTCGTTATCATCTTAAAACTAATGTCATCCCACTCACAGCAGACGAAATGGGCCTCGGCAAAACGCTCCAAACGATCGCGTTCACCGCGTACCTCCGCGCGCGCTCCTTCTCGCGCCCGATCATGATCGTCTGGCCGCTCGGTGTCCTGCATAACTGGAAGGAGGAGTATGAGAGGTTCGCGCCTGAGGTGAGTTCTCCTTTCTCCTTCATGTTTATTTTTCCGCTGGTCTGGTTTGCCTCGTTTATATCAATCTTTGGGCATAATTTCCTTCTCCCTTCTCCCGTATATTGTCATTTCCTCCTCCTCCATCATCCCGTTTACCCTCCTTTCTTCGTTCTTCGATTTATGTTATCTAGGGCGCGCAACGCGGCGCTTTACGCGTCTTTTTGGGCGATGTGTTCTCGGACTTTCTTCTGTGGGGCGTCGCGCCGCCCGGACGAGCTGTCTTCGTCGTGCCGTTGTGGGTGGCTACGTGGAGTATGCGTACGCGCTTCCTGCCGTCCGTTACGCTGGCTAGGGTGCTTCTGCTTCTCCAGCCCCTCGGGTCTGCGCAGCGCTGCGAGTCATTTCGCCGTCTCTCCCCGCCTGTCTCTTTTGCCTCGCACGCGTTTGGCGTTCTTAGCTCCTCTCATACCTTACCTCGCCCCCACTTACTTGCTTTTCTTTCTTTCTTCTTCTCGTCTTCCTCGCTTCTCCACCCTCCCCCTTCCCCCTCTCCTTTCCCTCCCTTCCTCCCCCTCCCCCTTCCTTCGTCTCCCTTCCTCCCCCTTCCACTCCAAACTAACCGCCTTCCGTTCCGCAGATCCCCGTAACGATCTACCACGGCCCGCCCGCGCACCGCGCGGAGCTGCGGCGGACGGTGATGAGCATGCCGGCGGGGTGGGATCCCAAGGCGAGTAAGGCGAAGGCGGAGGCGGAGGCGGGTGCGGGTGCTGTCGACGCGGATACATCTGCCTCGAACGCGGGCACAAAAGCGGGCGGGCGCGGGAGGGGCAGAGGCAGGGGGAGGGGGCGGGGGAGGGGCAAGCCGACGACCGAATACAGCGCGAGTGGGAGTGCGCGGGGAGGTGGGCGTGCGCCCGAAGCCAGCACATCGTCTACTCGAGGTGCGGGGCGGGGTGGTGGACGGGGAGGGGCGGGACGGGGCGCTGGGCGTGGAGGTGCTAGTGGTCGTGGTGCTGGTCGTGGTGGTCGAGGACGGGGCGGGGGCGGGGGCACACCTACCCGGACGAGCACGCGCGCGGGGACGAAGCGCAAGCGCGCGGCGGAGGAGTCCGACGACGACGATGCGCAGGACGCGCAGGCCTCGGAGAAGCACGACGATTCGGAGCAAGACGAAGCCAAAGACAAAGAAGACAAGCGCACGCCCCTCGAGCGCGCGCACGACGCGCACTTTGCCGCGTGGCCCATCGTGCTGACGACGTACGAGCTCGTGATCCGCGACCGGGGGGTGTTGAGCGGGGTGCCGTGGGGGTGCGTGTCTCTTCCTCCGTCTATTCATTCCCCTTTCCGCGGTTGCCTTCGCGGGTTTTCCTTCCTCCTTCCTCCTGTATCCCATATCACTCTCGCTTCTGCCGCCCGCTTCGCTTTTCGTTCTGCTCCGTCCCTTCACGTTCCCCCCCTTTCCGTTATCCTCCTTTTTCCCATGTCGTTTTCTCCCCTTCCGCTTCCCTCGTCCTCGCCCTTGCACTCCGTTATCTCTTTCCTCATTTTCCACTTTTCATTCGCTCTCCTTGCTCCTTCCCCATCCTCGTGCCTCCGCCGCTTCCCTTTCCCTCTATCGTTTCCTCCCCTTCCCCTTCCCTCGCCCTCGCCCTCGCACTCCGTTGTCGCCTTTCGTCCATTATCACCTTTCGTTTGCTCTTCCTCTTCGATCCGCCCCCTCCCTTATCCCCGTCGCCTCCCTCTCGCTCCCACCTTTTGACGCTCCCAGCTCCCGTTCCCTCCTCCCCCTCCCACTTCGCTCTTATTTCTCGCCCTCCGCCCTACTCCTTCTCTCTTTTCTCTTCTACCCGCTCCTCCTCTTTACATCCTTCCCGCCTCCACACGCTCCGCGGCCCCTCCCTCTCCTTCGCCCTCGCACTCCGTTATCGCTTTCCTCCATTTCCACTTTACGTCTTTCTGTGCCTTGCCCGCTCTTCTTACTCCCTCTCCCCCGCCTCTCTCGCTCCCTTCTCCACCCTCCTCCCGCTTTTCCCTCCATCCTCTTCCACCCTGCTCCTCCCCCTCGCCCTTCCTTATCACCTTTCGTTTCCTCTTTTCGCTCGTCCCGTCCTCCTCCCTATCACCCTCCCCGCGCTACCGTTTTCCTTCCCTTCCCCTCTCGACCTTCTCGCACTCCCGGCTCCTGTTCCTCTCCCTCCGACGCCGACTCCGCCTCCCTCCCCTTATCCCTCCCCTCATCCCTTCTCCTCTTGCTCTCCTCCTGCCCTGGTGCTCCCTATCCCTATACTAACCCCCCTTTTCTCCACAGCTACATCGTCGTCGACGAAGGCCACCGCCTCAAGAACATGGACTGCGCGCTCATGCGCGAGCTGCGGCGCTATAACAGCGCGGGCCGCATGGTGCTCACCGGGACGCCGTTGCATGTGCGTGCTTTCTTCCCCCTCATTTCCTTCCCTGCATTTCTGCCGTACCCTGCCCCTTCTTCCTGTCCCCCCCCCTCCTTTCCTTCTCTCCCCATCCGCTCCCCATTCTCTCCTTTCGTCCCCGCACCGACCGACGCTAACCCACCCACCCCGCAGAACAACCTTGCAGAGCTCTGGGCGCTGCTCAATTTCGTGCTGCCGGATGTGTTTGACGACGTGGATGCGTTTCAGGAGTGGTGAGTACTTTCCTCGTCCTCCCATTCTCTCTTTCCCACCTTCCTGCATCCCCGTCCCCGTTCCCCATCTTCCGCTCCACTTCCTACCGCCCCATCTTCCCCTCCGCCCTCTCCTCCCTCGTTCCGGCCTTCCCTTGCTCTTCCTCCTCTCCCGCACTTCTACCACTCGTTCCAGTCTCTCTTTCCCACCCCTGCCTCCGTTCCCCACCTTCCTGCATTCCCTCCTCCCGTTTCCCCTCTCCTCGTTTCCGTCTTTGACTCCCCCTCCCCCACACACCCACTAACCCCAACCCACCCCTCAGGTTTTCCCTCCCCCGCCTTTCGACGCTCCTCCCCTCTGCGCGCATGGGTGCGCTCGTCGCGATGCTGCACCGCGTGCTCAAGCCGTTCTTATTGAGGCGTATGAAGGCGGATGTGTTGGGTGCGTTTTCTTGATTTTGGATTTAATTTGTGTTCGGGCGGGAGAAGGCGTTGGTGCACCGGAGAGATCGCACTTCGTCGCGTGCGGTGTATCGATGCATCTCGGCGAGGAGCGTGAAGTACAGTCAGAGGGTGGCGCTGCGCTTAGACTGCTGGGCTGGGCGTGTGCTCCGTCTGCGTGGTGGTGCTAAACCATGTCCGCCCTGCACTTT